TGCAGCGGCTCGTCTGGTCTTCAACCTTCCTAAATGTTCCCACACCACTCCGCTCCTCCGCTCCCTTCACTGGCTTCCGGTAACTGCTAGAATCCACTTCAAGACAATGGTACTTGCGTACCATGCTGCAAATGGATCTGGCCCTTCCTACATCCAGGACATGGTTAAACCATACACCCCAGCACGTGCACTCCGCTCTGCATCAGCCAAACAGCTCGCTGCACCCGCACTGCGAGGGGGACCCAAGTTCCCATCAGCAAAAACACGTGGGTTTGTTATCCTGGCTCCAAAATGGTGGAATGAGCTCCCCATTGACATCAGGACAGCAGAAAGCTTACACATCTTCCGGCGCAGACTGAAAACTCATCTCTTTTGACTCCACTTCGAGCGATAGAACTATTAACAAAGCACTTATATACTAATAAAGGACTGGCTTATCTAAAGCCAGTTGAGTAGCACTTGAAATGTTTTAGCTCTATGAAACCTGATGTACTTATATGATTCTGTTTTCTTCAAGTTTGTATCTTGTTGGTCGAACGCACTTATTGTAAGTCGCTTTGGATAAAAGTGTCAGCTAAATGCAATGTAATGTAATGTAACATAATGTATCGTCCCTCTTTCTCTGTGTTTCCTGTAGGTGGGAGATCAAATGAAGCTGCTCCATAACTGCTGGTCTGAACTTCTGGTCCTCGATCACATTTTCAGACAAGTGCAACATGGACAGGAAGACAGCATCCTGCTGGTGACCGGCCAGGAGGTAACAACCCCCTTACACACACACCTTCCTCTCAGCACACACTCGTATACCTGCCCTGCACTGCATTCAACATGTGGTCACTCTGGCTCTCCTCCGGTCTCTGGACTGCAGGCCCAGTGTGTCATTGTTTCAACCAGCTTTCACACCAGATGAATGAAGGACCTTTTTCGTGTGACAATTTACAGTCACATGTAAGGTTGATAGTAGTGCTGACATATTTATAGTTGAGCCATGGATGGTCGTTTCTTTGATCCTTAAAACTCAAAATGTTTTGGTTATTTTTAATGCCATGTAAAATGTATACATAGACTGTTTCCTCCAAAAAGGTGTGTGTTCTCTCAGATGAAAGGTACATTGTTTTCCGAGTAACCCTGTAAGGCATGGTGACCCACCGCACCCCATTGGAACCAACTGTGGAATGCATTAAAGCAGTTTAAATTAAAAAGAGATTTTCATTCATTTGTGCACAAAGTGTTCCGTGCTTCTGTGGTCCACAAGCAGCCTGTGCTCCTCTGACAAAGCTCTGTCAGCAGGTCAGCCTTCAGCTGGAGCCGCCTGCATACGGCCAGACAGTCAAATGGGTGACATGAGGAGACATTTAATCCTGACATTTATTCAATAATGTTATCAAAGAGTTGATGTAACATTACATAGGATAATAATAACAATCTTTTTTTCATAACCTTATTGACACTTTAAGGAGCAGGCCACGTCTTTCAGTTTTTGTGTTTCTATATACATCTAAAATGTATATATATATATATATACATTTTGGATGAATGTGTTTCAGGTTTGAATGATTTACCGGCAAACATTATATTAAAAAGGTTAATACAGTCGATATTCATTTATATCAACACATTTGACACACTGCAGAGTATTATTGGCAAAAATAAACGGTAGTTTTTCTGTTCTTACTGTGTGTTAAGGGTACAGTACTGATATGTGTACGTGCTTGACATTGGAATACATACTTTAGGCCGGTAGGATTTCAGACTTCTTATTATATGGACGACTGTGACACAGGGGTGAATTAAGCATCCCATAAGAGGGTCAGCGGCTCCATCCCTGCCCCCTGCTCAACAGAATCCTAAATTGCTCCTTGAGGCTTGTCTACGGTATTGAAGCGCATCTACATAAATAACATGTTATGTACTTTTTGAAATATTTGGAAGCAGTTTTCTAATGAAAAAGTTAAAGGGAGTAGAGGTCCTCCATGGAGGGCAGCTCCATCCTGTTGTGGAGGCTGAGGGTGACCTTTTGCTCTGTAGGCAAACTGCAGGGGGTCCAGAGAGTCAGGGAGGGAGGGAAGGGGTGATAAATGTTTGGACTAACTGCTCAAAGCACTTCATGATGATGGAGGTGAGCCACTGGGTGGTAGTCGTTGAGGCTGGTGGGTTTAGACTTTTTGAGGACAGAAACGATACTGACATCACTATGTAACATTCACACTTCTATTCACACAACACATTGTACGTCAAAGGGCTAAGGGGGGGGGGACATCTCTATGTTGGTGTCCAGTGACAACAGAGCCAGCCAGCCAACCAATCAGAGCAGACTGGGGTCTGGTTTCAGACAGAGGGTGAAAAGAGGTGCTGCAGGGCTTCACCGGCTGCGCCTCTTGACGCTAACCAGTTCTCTGTTTTCAGGTGGAGCTGTCGTTCGTCCTGTCCCAGGCGGAGGCCACGCTGTCGGGGCTGGTGCAGCGGGGGCAGGAGCTGGTGGCCCGGCTGAGGGCCCTGCAGTTGGACCGCAGAGAGACCGCCTGCATGAAGTTCCTGCTCCTCTTCAACCCCAGTGAGTCCGCCTCATGCTGTGATAAGTGTGCAGATGCTTTGGCCAGAGAAAAGTGTCAAATTAAAAAAAAAATAATAATGACTTCTATTCACTCATAATCAGAAAATACAGGTTTATCCCTGCCCAAGGCTCGGGACAGGTTTGACAGGCTAAAACAGAGCAGCCTTCGTATTCCATATACAGTATAATAGTCTCTTATTATACTTTAGTATTAGTACGAGTAAATGAATGTCTTTGAACGACAACGTGTCTTTGGATTGTGTGTTTCTGGAAGAATGCCGTGATTTATTGTGAAAATCAATCATCTTGCAGGGTTGCAGGGCCATACTGATGCAGTGCTTTGGCGGAATTTCAATAGCAACATTGACATTTTAATGAAAACATTTCACAATTGCAGATTATCTGCAACACCTACCTACGTATATCTGTAAGGTTACAGACATCCACATTGGCCTTTTTCCCTCCAATAAATTCACTTAATTAAATTTCTAGGGTTGACAAAAGCCAACATTAACAAAGACATCCTCCTCCATTGTCCACTAATGGCATTCAAAAGAAGCGTAATGGATGGGTCTATCATTCGATGGCAGAGCCGACATTCATGTTGCGGCTTGTGCAGATGGAGAGAGCGTAGACGTGCCTCCCCAGATTCTCAGAAGTGTTTGCTGTGTAGCGCTGGCAAGCGGGGAACAAAGAGCTTTTCAATGGAGAGAGCACTTGTCATAGACAGAAAATATTTGCTGTGTTTGCCTGCGGCTTCTCTGCTCGCACTCTCGCACTCCCTCATCTTCAGAGTCAGGTTTGTCGGGGGTAATTTAATTGCCCTTAAGCAGTTTGAAAAGATGATTCAGAACATTTAATTACTGTGTGAATGGATTCTCCAAGATGTGCTCAGCTGATGCTGAATGGTCCACAGAAGGGCTTGGCTATTGTCTCTCTCTCTCTCTCTCTCACACACACACACACACACACACACACACACACACACACACACACACACACACACACACACACACACACACACACACACACACACACACACACACACACACACACACACACACGCCATGCACTCAACTTAATACTAAGCAGCTATCCTTTATATCAAGTGAATGGTTAATATTCAACATTTATATTGCATTAATGTTCTTTCTCATATAATACTATTCACTTATATAACTTTACATTTTAAACTCAATATTGTCTTGGAGCAGCTGTACAGTACGAACCATTTCTAAACATTTTCCATCACCCCATGTAAATGTTAAGTCATTTGTTAAAGAATCAGGAAGCTAATGAGGAATATTCAGCTTCTTAATGTCCTTTTCCTCATGGACATCTAAAAGAATCAAAAAATGATTTAAACATTTGAATACAAAAAATTAAAATAAAGATAAACATTAAAAATCAAAAACAATAACTACAAATTCTCAGTAAAAATGACCTATATTCACAGGAGTATCTAAACATTATACAATATATAGAATACAATTGAATAGTCTCTAATATACCATTCTACTGAACATAACAACATAGTGTACTATACAATAAAACAATGTGTACAGTAGCTTGAAATACAGGTAAAATATATCTGAGGTAGTATGCTGCAAATTGTTCATGCTATTTACCACTGCAATCAACCAGCTACCGCACATGATTCTACAATGTTACACTTGTTTTATAAATACTGATTAGTTGCTTATTGTCTCTGAATGTGTACTTCTGTCAATTTTTTTTAAAATGATTTGATTGCAAATGCTTCGGCATGCCGTGTTTTTGGGGAGTTTTTCTTCCTCTCTATCTATACTGCTGTAACAATGTACATTTCCTTATGTGGGATGCATAATGGAATTCCAATTCTGATACTGAACAAATGATGAAACCAACTTGGTAGCAACAATATCGTCCCCCTCCCAAACCTGTTCATAGAAGATAAAAAGCCTTTATTGTCATTTTACAAAATATACAACAAGACTTTTGGAGTGCAACCCTGTCAAAGTGCACAGTGACCAGTAGGGCAAACACATGTCAACAATAATAAGGGGGTAATACATCATAAAGAGCAGTGGCGTGAAAAACTATACAATGCATTACATGATGCATGCTGTCCTGTGTGTACAGATGTCAAGCTGCTGGAGGACCAGGCCTTCGTGGAGGGGGTGCAGGAGCAGGTGAACGGGGCTCTGCTGGAGTACGCCCTGTCCACCTACCCTCAGTTCCAGGAGAAGTTCAGCCAGCTGGTGGTGCGTCTGCCGGAGCTGCGTGGCCTCAGCACGCAGGCTGAGGACTACCTGTGCTACATGCACCTGAGCGGAGAGGTGCCCTGCAACAACCTGCTAATCGAGATGCTGCACGCCAAGAGAGCCTGTGTGTGAGGGACACACACGTTCCTCCGTCATGTGTTGTTTGTATAGGTGAGAGTGTGTGTGTGGCAGGGAAAGTGTGTGTGAGAGGAAACAATCAGATGAAGATAGACAGGCTATGTTGGGCCATCTTTGTGAGGCCTTTTGTTTGAGCTGGAGAGGAGAACATGTTCTTTGGTGTTTGGAATTATAAAGCTCCATCCATACTCAAGGTCGTTTGCATATTTTGAATGTTAACGTTTCATATCCTGCAGAGCTACATTCCTTTATAAACTGGATTTTCTACCCTGTTTTCAAAAATCTAAAATTAGAACTGCCTTTAAAGTTATATTCAATGACAAAATATCACATCCAGCATCAGAACACAGATTTTCTACGTTCCGCAGAGCTGCCCAGCAAATATTCAGACTCAATCAAATAATGCTAAACACTCATGAAGACATAGTGTCCAGATATCTGTCTATCATTCTAAAACATCCACATCGTCATATCATTGTGGTATGTATAGGATGTCTATAGCTGGTGTGAGGGCTGCTCTGATGTGAACTTTCCCATCATATTTTGTATCCTCTTTTCAGAAATTTGAATTTAGCATTAATTGATTTTTATCCAAATGTCAGATCCAACTTGGAAGATTATAAAGTGTACTCTTCCTAGATAATCATTATATATTTTTTAGATGAAAACACTGTGGTGTTCTCAGATTACTGATCGTATCTCTACCCTTTTTTAACACCAATGTTAACAAATAAGGGAGCTCTATGGGGTTTAATATAGCTTTATTTTAATCTATTTAGTAATATATTGATATAGAGAAGCCAGAAATGTTAAGAAAAACTAATTTGTATTCAGTTATTCATCAAACCCTTACCAGGAGAGATAACATGGCAACAATACAGATAAGAAAGAAGGACACAGGCAGAGAAAGGGTTCAAACTGTTCACAGCGATGTTTTCAGATGAAGGAGAGCAGGGAGTAGGTGGCAAAACATAAGCACATACAGTAGGTGGCAAAACATAAGCACATAAAGTTGGTGGCAAAACATAAGCACATACAGTAGGTGGCAAAACATAAGCACATACATGTGAATGATAATGGAGAGATGAACGAAAACTGCTTTTCTCTTTCTTTGAGCAAAGACTAACAAAAGGAAGCATCTGTCACCGTGTGACTGAGGAGCAGACAAAGCCAGGGAAAATAATCATCTGGCAACATTTGGTTTCACGTTTCCTTATAAAAAACATGATTTTATTATAGGTCAGTGCCTCAAGAAACAATGAGTCTTAAAAAAAGGCAGTTGTCATGTTCACACTCACATTTGTGTCACTTTTCAGCACGCGGTACTGTAGGTGTGAGACTGAATGGCCATTCTGTTCACCTTTGTCTTCAAATCAACGTTAAACAAAGTGCAGACAGCAGGCATGGAAACAGGGCGGTATGTTAGGTTAATGTGAAATATTTAAAAAGTAAACCCAAATTGAACTTGAGCCAGTTTAACTTTCTTAAAATGAAACCAAACTTCCCCCAAAAACTTAACATCGTGCTTTCAGCAGAGCCATACATGTTTCATGTCTTAGTTGCCAGAAGAACATTTTGTAAAAGAAAAATTAAATAATGTTAGCAGATACGTTTATAAAAAAATCGAACAATGTTGATAAAAGACACAATTCAGGTATTTTACATGTATTTGCTGCATTTTCATTGTGCTTGAACAAAATGTGAGGTCACACAGAAGCTTGAGAGCAGCACATTTCTGTGATGTGTGTTGATTTCAGTTTCTGTGACTCGACTTATATAACCTGACTCCACGCCAACCACATCTGGCAGCATTTCTGTTGATATTTTCAGACGTTTGATGCAGGTAGCTAACAGGATGTGTCTCAGTTCTCATGCCCACGGACATCACTCCATTGTCTCTCCTCAATCTGAAGCAATTTGACGTCAGTGATGAATCACTTTCAAACTGACACTCAGGTGTTGTGATTCAGAGTATACTGAACAACTGAAACGTTAACTTAAATAAAATGTATTATGTCAACAGGTTCCAAATAGTTGTATTAGGTTAGTTGAAAGCAAGTTGAACCTACTATGTTGTATTTAAACTTAATATTATTGCTTTAAAGCTACCTAATACAGATATGTGTAATTTGTTTAGAAATACATTTTTTAAGTAAACTCTCGATTTTTTTCAGTGTAGTAGAACCAGGACACAGTATTTCATATTGTTATATTTTTTGACCAACATATTTGGTTCATTATTAAAGAAATAAACATGTCTGTCTTTAATTCAAAACCGCTGTTCTTATCATCATAAGAGTCTAACCATCATGCACTGAAAAACTGAAACATTGACTAAATGTATTATGTCAACAGACTTCATATCCCTGTATTAGGTCAGTGAAAGGCAATAATGTTAAGCTTCAATAAAGAATATTAGGTTCAATTTAATATCATTGCTTTAAAATAACCTAATACAGTTATGTGAAATTTGTCGACACAATACATTTGATTAATGTGTGGGTCACTAAAACTCTCCCCTGATATCTGACATATTCCTGCACGTTGTATACATTTAAAATATGAGATAACACTGCAGGCCCTCTAAGCCCCACACACACTATCAGCAGCCTGAGTTACCAGTGAAACACTATTTGCGATTTCTTGTACTATGTTGAAAACACGTGTGTAACCCTAAAGCCCCTGTCACACTGTCCCGAAATTGACACCAGATGGACACACGATAAAGGAAATGTTCAAATTCGGCTCTGATCGTAACAACATTGGGCCATTCGTGAGGGCATCTTAAGCCATCGTATGACCGCCGGAGGAGTTTCTCAGGCTCCGGCATCAACTTCGTGAGCGGTGGCAAAATCTTTGACATGCCAAAAAATTGCCGAAGGACCTTGCGAATTTCATTTTCGTGTCCATTTTGCCCTTTGTAAGGCCCTCGTGAGGGCATCTTGTCAAATTGTGTCATCTTCGTCTGATCGTCGGTGCCATCGGGCATTTTTTGCCTCACAAAGACAATACGAAGGAAACAAGAATCTGCCCGATTGTCTTAGGAAGGCAACACGACTACGTGAAGCCCTCGCAATAGTGCTGTGTAGCCATCGTATTATAGTACAATGACATCGAGATTGCATTTATTGCACAACAAAATCATGTACAAATATTATGTAAATAACCCAATTTGTGTTCTTGAAACTGAAATTGCAGTTGTATGTCTTAAATGTAATTTAGGTTAACTTCCTGCTTTTATTTAGATGCTTTTATTTTGAAGGCGAGTTTACGCTGTTGACAGGAAGTTGTTGTTGATATGGAAACAACATGACGGAGATAAGTAATGTCTTCTAATCTACATATAAAGACAGAGAAAGTAAAGAATAAAGTATATGTTTAAATGTTAGCACCACCCGAAGAGGCACAAGCTCTTACGTTGAGTCTGGATACATTCTAAATCATCACTAAAGTCTACGACCATATTTCCGTGTGTGGTTCGGGTGCCATCGTGTGGCCTTCTGTAGGCATCGTACTTGCTTCGGCTGTCGCTTGGCTGTTGACCAACTAAGGGGCCATCTTCGTGCGAAATTCACAATTCCATATTCGTGTGTCCATCTGGTGTCAATTTCGGGACAGTGTGACAGGGGCTTTATGATTGGCACCAGCATTCAGGTCACTCTTTTTCAATATGATCAAAATACTACGGTGGCTAAATAGGTAAAACGTGCTGCACTTTCAAAAATAATGCAAATATAAAANCTCTGATCGTAACAACATTGGGCCATTCGTGAGGGCATCTTAAGCCATCGTATGACCGCCGGAGGAGTTTCTCAGGCTCCGGCAGCAACTTCGTGAGCGGTGGCAAAATCTTTGGCATGCCAAAAAATTGCCGAAGGACCTTGCGAAGGTTCATTATCGTGTTGAATTTGTGTGTCCATGTTGCCCTTTGTAAGGCCAGCGTGAGGGCATCTTGTCAAATCGTGTCATCTTCGTCTTTACTTCATATGATCATCGGTGCCATCAGGCATTTTTCGCTTCACAAAGACAATACGAAGGAAACAAGAAGCTGCTCGATTATCTTAGGAAGGCAACACGACTACGTGAACCCCTCGCAATGCCGTCGTGTAGCCATCGTATTATAGTACGATGACATCGAGATTGCATTTATTGCACAACAAAATCATGTAAACATATTATTTAAATAACCCAATTTGTGTTCTGTGAAACTGAAAAGGATATTACATTGTGATTGTTACTTTCGTTTCAGTTGTATGTCTTAAATGTAACTTAGGTTAACTTCCTGTTTTATTTAGATGCTTTTATTTTGAAGGCGAGTTTACGATGTTGACAGGAAGTTATTGTTGTTGTGGAAACAACATGACAGAGATAAGTAATGTCTTCTAATCTACATATAAAGACAGAGAAAGTAAAGAATAAAGTATATGTTTAAATGTTAGCACCACCCGAAGAGGCACAAGCTCTTACGTTGAGTCTGGATACATTCTAAATCATCAGTAAAGTCTACGACCATATTTTCGTGTGTGGTTCGGGTGCTTTCTGTAGGCATCGTACTTGCTCCGGCTGTTGCTTGGCTGTTGAACAACTTCGGGTCAATCTTCGTGCAAAATTCACAATTCCATATTCGTGTGTCCATCTGGTGTCAATTCCTGGACAGTGTGACAGGGGCTTAACCGAACTCCCAGATGTATGAAAAGTGTCACACTCTTTTTAAAGCACATGCCTCTCAGCGATGATACCTGTTTGAAGACCAAAGACTCGGTCTCAAGATGTTTGTGATATTGTGCAGCTCGACATTTAAAACCATTCCTCGTTGGTCCATCTCCAGGTATCGTAGACAATCACTCCGCCTGCCTTAACTGAATTTCTGCCTGAAAGCATACACACCTTGGTAAACCTTGGTTTTCCAGTTGAGATAGCTCTGTGTTATCATTATGTACAGTATATTTATGTTGTGAAGTGAATATCTACTGCAAGATGAAGATACATTTCAAACGAAAGAGTTCTACGCTTTACGTTGAGGTCAGATCGCTGCCATGTGGAAGTGATTCTCTTGATATTGCCTTTGTTTTGGCTCTTGTTCACTTTTATTTACCTGTGAGTTGAAAGTTCCGTCTTTAACTGAAGTGTTTTTTTCTCCCAAAAGAGAAAGTGACCAAAACGTTTGTTTCTTTAAATATATTTTATTGTAATAGCACTAAACCAATAAATTTCAGTGAAGTAAGCTCCCCGTGTGTGTCGACTATAATTACACAACATTCATCAGTTGTGCACAAATGATACAGAGCTCATACAACATGAATTACAGCTGTCATAGTGTGGCTGTTATTCAGCCTTGTCTGACCTATTAACATCAGAGAGCCATTATTCACATCAGTTTCATTTTAAACATCCAACATCAGTCTTAGAAACACATCTATCATTTAAAAAGAGTGATAGCATTTCATTGTGGAACAAAATTGATTTGTTCCTCCATTGTCCATCTTCAGCATGTCTACTTGTAGAACCTGTGGATTAAGTTTGGTGGTGAAAGTGGATGGCCCCAATTTCATTCCAAGTCGGGCCAATTCCGTTTTGCAGCTCTGATATTCGATTGGCTATCTGCTAAATATTGATGCTTATTTTAAAGAAGAAGTAACTGCAGACACCTTAAACAAAGTTGATTATCTTCTTACAGATAGGAAAGTCTGCCTTCTGAGCAAAAAATGGAGCCCACCTGTTATTGTGGAAAACCTTAACCTAACATTACAGAGAGAGTGGTTCTCCATGATAAAATGTCTAACTTCTATCTCGTCAGAAAAAGTATTTTATTTGCTTGTTGTGTGTTATTCAGAGGGAAATAGAACCTGGTCACGGACAGGATTACCAGACTTGAGGCCACAGGACAGCACCTATAGATCAGACAGATAATCTGCCAGCACACACACATGCCACTGAGCAGACAGAGGGCAACACACAGTGTGTTTCCAGTCAGATTATCACCAGTGTTGAACTGTGAAACTGCTACAGTCCTGCTATGTTTTTTCACCTAAAAACATCACTACTGAGCACGAGTGAGAACACAATTTTGACCTTCAGAACAGGCACGTAAGGCTGACTAAGTCCAGCAGAGTCACACACACCTCAGGTGCGCTCTCACACACTCAGCATGGTGTGACAGCCCAGCCTTTCACTCACAGTGCATCCTGCTGTCAGTCAGAGGGAACAATGGAGAAACACATCTGCAGTATCTAAAGCTAATGTTTTAGAGAGTGTTTAAAGTAAGAGACCTGTGCTCCCTGTCTCTTCAGAATATCTGTGGGATGTGTTTCTGCCACAGCTCCATGCTCAGCTGCATGCACAGTCTCATTCAGTACTTTACAGAACCATCCAATCACAACAGGGAGACAGTAAACGCAGTGTACAGGGAGGTTAACCAAACGTAGTCGTCCACATCGAAAATGTTTTGAAACTGTTAGACAACACGTCATGAAACAGATTATGTTTTCATATTTGGAGCCACATGTCTTAGTTCTTTGTGCTCAGCTGGATTTACTGCTAGCTGTAGATGTATTTACATGAAACACAAAGACAGTGAGAAGGAAGCCCAGCGTTAATATTTGTCACACATAAGGGCTGGCTCATTAAGATCATTCCAAGTGTGATCTTAATGAGCCGTGTTGTTTTGGGGAAATGGGATGGCAATTGTCACTTCAGGAATAATGTTTTAACCTCAAACAGATCATCAATAACATGTATTATCTAAATTGAGAGGGGCTATATGTTGAGTAAAAATTATCTTGTTGGAGTTTGTTCTTGGAAATCATCTGATTTCACAAAACACAAACATTTTCTGAGTTTGTAAAGTAATATATATCCGAGAAATTTCTCCACATTCTCCATGACATTTTTTGTAAAGGAACCAAATGGATTGATTATACAAGGTTAGATCCATCTCATCAGCTTGAGCAGTACTTTGAAAGATTATTCCTTTTATTTGGAGAATTTAATCTCAGAAATGATCAGATAAATCATTCGCAAAGGTTTGTTTTCTTGGTGATTTACCAATTAATTATCAGAAATCAAAGTATTTTTATATTTGTTCTTGAATTAGCTATTTTAAAATAACCTCAGCGAATAACACATGTGTTATTTGGTTGAGCTAACCCTTTTAAACTTAAAGGTGACCTATCATGCAAAATGCACTTTTGTACGTCTTTTATACATGAATATGTGTCCCCGGTGTTCCAGGGAACTCACCAAGTGTCAGAAAACACAACCCTCTCTATTTTCCTCCATACCCAAATCTCTTAAAAAGGGGCTGCAACAGATCTGATACAGACTGATCCAGATTTGAACACTTCTATGACGTCACAGAAGTGGCGCTACGGCTATTGGGCCAACTCCACCAATCAGGAGGAGACAGCCACGGACATTGCCGTTGGAAAGCGCTGGAGACGCTGTAGTACATATGCCAGGCCTGTAGATGGTGCTGTTCTCACAGAATCAGCCCATGCAAAGACAGTGTTAAATTGAGCGAAATGAGGAATGGCTAAAATGCATGATCTGTTTGGTATTTTGAAAAATAAAAAGTATAAATATGCCTTATATAGGTATGGTCCTACACTATATTATTCAAATATAGCATGATAGGTCCACTTTAAAACAATATTTTGTACTTTGAAGAGATCAGCTCACATTGAGATTCAGAGAACTGGTGATAGACATGATCATTCTTAGACAGACTTGTTGTTCTTAGTGTATGTGTATTGCTTAAATTAGAAAAGTTACACCACTGCTCTACTGGAGACGTCAGGGGGTTCCTGCAGAGCTGAGGACCCCCTGGCAGGCAGTCATAGACCTAACCCAAAATAAGGGAACGTGGATCTGATCTGGGAACAGAGCAGTGACAATGTGAGAAGAAGATTTCACTTCTTCATCTTTCCTTCCTTATTTGATTTCACTCTCCTTCTTAGCAGTGTGTGTTTGTGGCAGCAGTGCACATCTTCAGGTGGGAACTGTGTGTGTGTGTGTGTGTGTGTGTGTGTGTGTGTGTGTGTGTGTGTGTGTGTGTGTGTGTGTGTGTGTGTGTGTGTGTGTGTGTGTGTGTGTCCATTCTTTCAGTTTGTATCAGGATCCAGTCCATTTGCAGTTCAACAACCTGTGGTGAAATAAAGTGAAATGTGTTAGCGACAACTCATCTCAAGCTGATGTTTAATGTTTCTGCTTCAGGAGTGTGAATGTGTTTGCGTACAAAGAGAGGAGGAGAAAGGGGGAGATGAAAGGTGGAGGGAGAGAGAGCAGGTGTTGGAGTAGTTAATGGCCGACGGCGTGAATAGCCGGCCTCGTGCGCTCCTGATTAAGGGAATGAACTTCTGCTTTGTCTCGTCGGTCAACAATGAACACCAAGCAGCACTCCAACACCAACCATCAGGCGCTCCTCCCAGACGGCTCAACATTTAATGAATCTAAAAACTTCCTTTTCCCTACTGCCAGGCAATTTAGAGCCATCGACAGTGACTTGACCCACTGGAAACGTGGGGACCATCTGTTGTGTTTGCCTGCTCATTCATAGGAACAAAAGCCTCGCGGGCAGTTTTCACACAGCGCAGGTAAACAGAGACCATAGGGAAAATAAAACCTTTTACTCTCTGTCCTCCAGTCAGTTTTACATTGCTTTCATTCAAGTAACTATACCTTCATGCTCTCTACACTACCCAGTGCATTTCAAATGAGTTTCATGACAGAAACATTGTATCTTCTGTTTGTCAGATTTAAGATTTTTTTTAAATAACACTCATCAAAAACAGCATCATTCCAAACTGAGCCACAATGACAGAATACTTCTGCTTATAGTAAAAATAATTTACAAAACTGGAATATATAGATAATTTAGTCAACATAAATAAGGTGGAATTTCCCTTATCTGTCATTTGAATACATGTAATTGTTGTTCTGAAGGAGCAGTTAGAGCGTAATGCATTCCTAACATGAAGCACCAGGTCGGTGGTTCCACCAGTCATCATAGCCCTGTGTGTTGGATAATAATCAGTGAAGAACACGAGCACGCTGCAACTCTGTAATCTTATCTCTAATATTCTTAGTATCACTGGTCTTCTTATTGCCTGTTGTTTCTGAGGTGTAATCTGAATGCCTTATTGACAAAGTGGTACCCTTTCCTTTTTTTGCATGTAGCATTAATGAACTGTTGTGTTTCAGTGTTTGAACCAACATCCAACTTAAGTTTGTTTTAAATATATACATTTAATATCCTCTAAAACTGTCACAAAATATGTTATTCCAGGCATAGATTCATGTGAAAGTAACAAGTAACAAACTTTAAACAGTTTTGTTTGGGCCCCTGCCCCTCTGACACCCTCTGCACGTGCCTGCTTGTGGTACAGGGCTATATAAAAGACACATATACATCTGATAGGACTGAATGAGCACCACTGCAGGTCTCTCTCTTTAATGACAGCAGTTGGACATCACACTTATTCTACTTCTAACCCTCTGTTTTCTATCTGCGCTTCATACACTTTGTTCACACACTTTGATTCTGACTTGATGCTTCACCCAACATCCAGCATGCCCACTTCAGTTTGTTGTATTTCATTTATGATTGCATTGTCCTTATCTCCTCACTTAATTTGTGATGTATTTGTTTCAGTACACTTTATAGTATCTTCACTATGCGCCTGTTCTTGTTAACTGCTGAAGCTGCTACATTGACTTTCCCTGTGTGGTATCAATTTCATCTAATCTTATCAACTAATACCAACACTTCAATTATCTTAAGATCAAGTGAGGTAGTACCTGATGGCTTGTACCCTGTCAGCTGGACCACCTGTTTGAATGGAAAAAACATACACAATATAAGTTGTATTTTAACAGTGACATGTGACAGCAGTGCAGTGATGATGCATGCATGTTACTCACTTGGTTTCCTGATGCTGGTTTTAAAGAGAAACTCACAAAGCTTTCCTTCCTGAAGCTCTCTGAAACACAATAACAACTTAAAGTTTGCATTTCCCTTTCAGGAGTAACATGATTCAGAACATGTAAGACAAAGAAAATCCATAGAGTAGTAAGTGAGAGTCCACAGCTAAGGAGGAATGGAGCAGGTCATGAGGTTGTGCTTTCCAGAAAGAGTTCATCTTCTTTCCAATGAATCATCTTAAGATGTGAGGTGGGATAAACACTGCTACAGCACTTGAGGTTTTGATAATAGGTCCACTGTCTTTTCAGTTCATAAGAACCAGTCCATGCCCTTTATGAGGACTCTAAAACCAGGATTTATTTCGCTCAGAAAGAGAGCAAAGAGCAAACAATGATGAGCGCAAATGTAATGCACGAAATGGGAAATGAGGTTGCAAACTACACAGTATTACTAAGCTATTACTAAGTCATTTTTGGTAAAACCTTTTGAAATTATATAACCGCCTGCTTGATATTATTATTACTGGCTGCTGGCTGGAAACAGATAATATTATCCATAATAATATTAGTGGGAGGAAGTTGTACACACAAAACTGAAACGTTGACTTTAATAAAATGTATTACATCAACAGATTTCCCATTACTGTATAAGGTTAGTTGAAAGCAATAATATTAAGTTGAACCTATTATATTTTATTTAAACCTAATAATATTGCTTTTAACTAACCTAATACAGTAATGTGAAATCTGTTGACATAATACATTTAATGAAAGTCAACGTTTCCATTTTTCAGTGCAGCTAGAGCGGGGTGTCAAACTACATTTCATCGCGGGCCACATCAGCATTATGGTTGCACTCAAAGGGCCGGTTGTAACTCTAAGACTATATAAAGATACATATATAAATATATCATATATATATAATAGTAATTATTATCATTATTATAATGTATTATATTACATTATTGCCTCTGCATTGGATTAGTATTGGATAAGGTAATAATAACTTCATGATTAACTAGGACTGAAAGCAGAAGTCTAGGGCAAATAATTGCACGTCTCTTCAGTGAGAATGTCACAAAATGATTTAAAAAGAAAAGCCAAATTCTGGAAAAAAAGTCACAATCCAAAAAAAGAAGTGACATTTTCAAAAAAAGAATTGACGTGTAAAAAAAAGTCAAATTCTGAGAAGAAAGTCAAATTTGAGATGCATTGTGCTCCATGTATGGGAAACGTGCCTCTGTAAATCGGCATGTAACCGTATAATAAACATATATATATTCTTTGCAAGTATCTCTGCCTGCATAACGCAGACTGAACCCCTCCTTCTGAAATACTTCAGACTTATTCCTGCTGCAGACGGTCTGCGCCTCCCTTCCCTTCAACACTAAAATACATTTGACATTAGACAAAAAACGATTACATTTTGTGGTGCTGTTTTCTTAAAAAATAAATAATGTCAAACACAATTTGAACTAGGTCTACACCAAATATTTCCAGCTTCAGCACATTCCGGGTCATTCAGCCTACCGTTCTTGATGACCAATGACGTGGAGGTGGAACTGGGGGGTCCGGAGGTCTCACTAGTGTCTGGGCTGGAGGGAGTCGGGGGACTGCGGCCCCAGGAGGTGATCGGGGCCCTCTGAGAAGGTAATAAGCTGGTGGGCTGAGAACAGTTCTGAAATACATCATAAGAAAGAAGTTCTTCAAAGTGATGAAAAGCATTAAAGGTCCCATGTCATGCTTTTCCGGTTATGTTTCCCCTTGTGTGTTATGAAGGTTTGTCTGCATGTAAACGGTCTGCAGACTCAAAAACCCTCAAAGTACACCCTGTAGCGAGTAAAACTCTAACTCAGTCTATTCTGCCCCAAAACGCCTCGTTGGAGATTTCTCATTTTCCATTGTTTACTTCCTGGGCACTCTGACGTGGGGACACCCAGAGGCCGCACCCTCTGCCAGCCTTTCACGAAACAAAGCTTCCCAAACCTTTCAGCGATTCATGCCGGATATGTACAGCGGGGCACTGAAGAACGATGCTGTTCCTGCTTTGTTTGAACCAGCGGGAGATTCGGGTACACAACCTCAACCTGTAAGTATTCATTGTTGTTTGTGTATTTATGATGTTTAAAACAAACCAGGTATCTACCACGACTGTTTAAATGGGTGAACGTTTTTCGGGCTACTAAGTTGGGATCGCGGAGAAATGCTCTCCGCAGACCAACCTGATCTCACCAGAATGCGTGACTCCACCACGACTCCTTAACACCGCATTGCGTGGTGGAGTCACAAACTTTGCAACATTTACGTGTCGGCACCACGCAAACAACCCCAATGTAAAGTGAATGAGGCACCTTTGTCGTGGTGCACACACGCATTTCTACAACGTCCCACAGTGAGCTTTTATTCTATAAAACGTTTTTAAAATTTAATTTATAGCTTGTAGTAACTCACGGGAGGCTTCTTTTATTAGGGTCTGAGACCAGAGGTCGGCGAAGACCCTTTTGAAATCGGTCGCGCAGCGACCGATAAACCTGCGAAAAACACCCAAAAACAGGGAAAACGACCGGCAAAAGCACAGAAAAGGTTCGGAAATCATGACGGCTGATAGGCCGCGGAGCCCAAGTGACTGCAACTCGCATAATTGATATCGTTACGATCAATTTAGTCATGCAAAACCCACAAAAAACAGGGAAAACGAGGGGCAAAACCCCATTAAAAGTGGCCTAAATCATGACAGTAGGTAGCCCACAGCGACATAGCACATTATTGAAATCGGTCCGATTATTA